GCGTAATGACTATGTCACTGGACTCCCACATAGTTGACCGTGGTTCGAGTCCCGGACCTGGTAGCTTAAACTCACACCGGGCACGTGTGCGTGTGCACCCAAGATCCTGAGAGGAGAATAGAGGAGAAGGGATTGCGGCGTGACCATTCCCCCTGGGGGGTGATTTCTCACTTTCTGTCTCTCTGTCTCTCTCTGTCTTTCTGGCGAGTGCACATGCCCTATAGCAAAAACCTCTCCAAAAAATAAATTAAAAAATGAGTGGCTACAACAAATCTATTAGTTCCATTTTTGTCCCAACTCTGGTAGTAGTTTTGCAGTTTTTAAAAAAATATTTTATTTATTATTATTATTTTAATTTGACCAGAAGAGACAGAGGCAGAGAGAGAAAGAGAGAGAGAGAGAGAGAGAGAGAGAGAGAGAGGAAGTGAGAAAGCAAGCCACCACGTCTAGGACCCGAACCATGGGTGGTCATGTAGAAGTCCAGTGCCTTTAACCACCACGTCACCTGCCAGCCCCTCTAGTACTAGTTCTTAACAGCTTCTGTCCCGCTCAGGGCTGTGCTTTTCTGTAGCTCTCTGCATTTTGCTGTACTGCGAAGAATGTCTTCTTACCAGCAAAGCCAGAGCTGAGCGAGTTTGCTCACTTCGATTCCTCAGCGTAAGTTTGCAGAAGACGGTAAGAAGCAATGAGGCTTCCTACCTGTGTTAACCTGGACATCTCCTCGGTTCTGGACGGTGAAGCTCTGTCAGTTCTGCTGAGCAGTGCGCTGACGTAACCACGCTCTCTTGGGACCTCGCAGGTCTGTGGAGTCTTAATTAAGCACACGCTGGGTGCAAGGCCTCTGCTGTGTGCCGGTGGGAAAGCAACCCTGGATGCACGCACACCCCGTTTCCTTCCCCCCTGTAGGAAAGCTCCGTGTTCCTCAGGAATGTGTCGTTCAGACAAAAAGCTAGGGTTTCTGCTGCAAAAATCCCTGAAAAGCTTGCAGGGTATGTTCAACGGGCTGGTTTCCTCAGCTTTGAAAATACAAGAGGAGCAGTCAGGGTTCCAGGCCTCTCTCCGGGCCATTGTGACCCTCAGAATGCCATGCAATCAGAGGACAGGAAGTAGATTCCACGATACCTGCCTGGAGATGGAGGAAGGCTTGAAAGAAGAACAACTGCAAGGCACCTCACTCTTCACGTCCTCGGCTTCTGGTCGTCTGTAACTTACGGGGTCGTCATGGAAGCAGACGGCAGCAATCCTCCCGTGCTGAAATTTCCACCCCTTACTAAATGTCAGGAGACGAAAAACTATGCTGATCCCGAAGTTCTGTGCCACACCTTTGAGACGCTGTCTAATCTTCACAAGCTACTTCCAAATCACTTGATGAAGTGGCTTTCTTCCTACAGGAGCAAAGAGGACAAAAAAATAAGTATGTTGGAGGGCCAGCAGGTGGAATGCTGGTTGGGATGCTGGACTCTCACATGGCCATCCATGGTTTGAGTCCCCCACCTGGTGGCTCGCATTCTCACTCCCCTTACCCCACTTATTGTACTCTGGTGAGTGCACATGCCCTATAGCAAATTTTTAAAATAATAAGAACAAAATTAAATAAATAATTCTTTCTAAAAAAATGTATGTGGGTTGAAGGTGGGTGTGAACTCTTCCTAGTAAGTGCACGCTTTTTATTGGTACAAACTGTCTCTCTTTTAAAAAAGTTCTTTAAAAAAAAAAGTTCTTTTTTTATAGTTACTTTTAAAAACAATTAATTAATTAATTTTTGAGAGTTTTTTGCTATATGGCACGCGCGCTTGCCAGAAAGACAGAGACAGAGAGACAGAAAGCGAGAAATCACCCCCCACGAGGATGGCCATGCCACAATCCCTTCTCCTCCATTCTCCTCTCAGGATCTTGGGCATGCATGCACACACACCTGGCATGAGTTTAAGCCACCAGATCCAGGACTCAAACCGTGGTCAGCTACATGGGAGTCCAGCGACATAGCCATTATGCCAACTGGTGGTCCCAGTTAATTCATTAATTTTAGTTTGATCAGAGAGGGACAGACATAGAGAAGGAGGGCAAGTGAGAAAGCAAGGTACCAGGTCCAGGGCTCGAACATGGCAGTTGGCCATGTGGGAGTTCAGTACCTTAACCCCCATGCCACCTGCTATAATTCCTTCTCCTCCATTCTCCTCTCTGGTTTTGGGTACACATGCTCACACACTCAATATATTTTTTATATACTGGGACTCACACAGCACAGTTGGCCATGTGAGATCCAGCTGCCTTAACCACCATGCCACTGGCTAGCCCTAAAAAGCGATTCCTTACAGTGCAATTGTGATCAGTCCTTGAGATTCATTCCCTCTGTCCATGGGCTTATGGGCCTATGTTCTCAGAATTTATGAAATTAACCTATGCTCTAACCATTATGTCTTCATATTCTTTTGGATTAAATAGTCTTTTATGAGTCAAATTAGGTCACAAAAGACTGTCACTCTTCTTTAGGCAAAGCATATCTGTGAAAACATAGAAAAAGGACCAAAGGGGAGATACCATAATTTAGAAATTAAATTTATAATTTAAGCTTTAGATTGTAGTATTAGATAACTTCGAGCTTTATTCTTTTGCTCTATATCCTACTACGTTTTCTCCTCTTACCACAAATGAATCACCCCAGAAAGAATCTGAATATATCCTGTACCTTTTGCAGTTTGGAATGGCCCATCCTGAACACAGGGTAATGGATCATTTGAACAACTGGGTAGAGCCTGGCTCCAGAATGGTTGATAATTAAGTGTACAAAGGTAGTTGGTCGCCACCTGCTTCCATGAATTTGGAAAACAGCCAGCAGCTGCCATCGTGATTAAGGCATAGCCTGGGGGAGACCAACAGATTGCCTAATGGTTATGTAGCTAGACTCCCACACAGTTGACTGCGGTTCGAGTCCCAGATCCAGTGACTTAAACTCACACCAAGTGCGTGTGCGTGCGTGCCCAAAATCCCAAAAGAAGATTGGAAGAGATGGGATTGCAGTGTGGCCATCCCCTCAGGGGTTGATTTCTCACTTTTTGTCTCTCTCTCTCTGCCTCTCTGGTGAGTGCGTGCACCCTATAGCAAAAATCTCTCTCTAAAAAAAGAAAGAAAGAAAGAAAGAAGGAAAGAAAGAAAGAAAGAAAGAAAGAAAGAAAGAAAGAAAGAAAGAAAGAAAGAAGAAAGAAAGAAAGAAAGAAAGAAAGAAAGAGAGAGAGAGAAAGGAAAGAAAAGCAGAGCCTGGGAAGGAAGATAGGTTTTAGTGTAATACCATTATGGTCAATTTGGCCATTTGTATTTTTTAAATAATTATTTATCTATTTTTATTTGTTATTATTGTTTATTTTTTAATTTGACCAGAGAAACAGAAGAAGAGAGAAAGGGAAAGTGGGAAAACAAACCACCAGGTCCAGGATTTGAATCGTGGTGGGCCATGTAGGAGTCCAGCACCTTAACCACCGTGCCATTGCTTTTAATGCTGAAAAGGATACTGCTGGTTATTCATTGCTTTTTCTCTACATTCTTTGGGAGTGTGCTCAACTGAATGGTGGTGTGTGCCGTGGGGCATGGCAGGCAGGAGGAGCAGTTCCCAGGGAGGAAGTGGACTTGACGAGGAGGCTATGACGAGGAGGCTGATAGGTCAAGCCCAGAAACAGTGTGTGCTGTCTCCATGCCTGCGAGCCGTCCATGCCTGCCGAATAGTGATGCTAGCAGGGCTGCAGGAGAACATAATATAATTATGAGGTGCAAAAGTCACAAATTTCCAAAAATCTGATGATTTATTTTATTTTTTAAAAAATAAAACTAAATAAAATAAAACAGGAACATGCACTTATGGGAGAGTGAGTGAGAGAGAGAGAGAGAGAAGACACCCCCTAAATGGGTGTGGTTATCACAATCCCTTCTCCTCCATTTCTCTATCCTGTTAGGATTTAGAACATGGGTACACAGGCATCAAGTATATAAATAAATAAATAAATATATATATTGGTGTGAATGGCAGTATCACAGTTAAGAGAGAAACACTGAAGGATAAAGATAGTCTACCACAGTAACTGACAATATATGTAAGGTCCTGGTGGTCAACTACACGTGAGTCCAGCGACATAGCTATTACGCCAACTGCTGGTCCCCCAAGTATATTTTTCAAGCCACTAAGGCTAGGATTCACATTATGATCAGCCATGAGGGATTCTGCTCCCTACACACAGACTGACCCAAGTTTTAAGTTATCTGTTTTTACTGTCTCTAGTACACACACACACACACACACACACACACACACACACACAATGGCTTTGTGTACTGTTTTATATTTTTTGTCACACACACACACACACACAATGGCTTGGTGTCTTGGTTTATATATTTGGTCTATGTTCATTTATATAAAATGTGATTATTCATCTTTCTATCCATCCATCCATCCATCCAACATGTATGCAGGTTCTTCAAAACAGTTTATAGAAAATGTGTATTATGAGGGGGGACCAGTAGGTGACATGGTGGTTAAGGCGCTGGACATTCCCACATGGCCGACCATGGTTCGAGTCCTGGACCTGGTGGCTTGCTTTCTCACTTTCTCTCTCTCTCTCTCTCTCTGGTCAAGTTAAAAATAAATAAATGAATAAATAAAATTTTTTTAAAAAAATTTAAAAAATGTGTATTATGAAAAAAACTATGCTTGCATTTCAAGGAAGTTTATACTTCAATTCCATTTCTTCAGGAACTTTTTTGAAGCCCTCTGGTATTTGATCCTACATGTTAAAAATAAGAAAACAAAAACCTTCAAGAAGCTTACAATCTAATATCTCAAAACTTCCTCTATGAATTTGCATTCAATTTTTATTCTACTTCAAATAATTTCTTGAGGCATCCTGATAGTCTATTAGGTTGTTGACAAAGTCGTGACGTATTTTTCTGTTTTCTAGGTGAAAATGAGTCCTAACTTTGCCGACACCCCAATGCTTTCTTTCCAAAAACCAGAATACTTGCTCAGAATGTCAAATAAGGCTACCATTACGGCTCCATTGAGTAGTCAGAGTGATTTCTGCTTTATCTCATTTGGGTGTGCAGTGCTAAAGTCTAATTATTCATACTGTCAGATATAATAATTTGTAAATTTTGTTGAATGTTGTTTTCCCTCTCTAGCCTTCTCTAATTTATCCCCAGCTGCTTACAAAGGATTTGAGGCAGTTTATGGTATTAAAATATGTGTATGCAAAAAAGACAATCAAAAACAATTCATTGGAGGCAAAAGAAAAAATTGTAATGGATGTCACCAAATACAAAAATGGAATTAATTAGTCGAGTTAGTATCAGATTCAGCTTTGAAATTCTGACACCCGAAATAAGCCACGTGCCATTCCTAAGGTTAGAGTGTTCTTGTGCAATCCTCCCGTGTATCCGGCATTGAGGTTACAGTTGAGGGCTAATTAAACTGCCGCTGAGGGCAATATGTGGGGGCAGTCTGGACTCTAGAGCACCAGGCAGAAGCCCCACTTATTTAAGAGAGATTTTTGCAAGACCAGCAGTTGGTGTAATGGCTATGTCACTGAACTCCCATGTAGCTGACTGTGGTTCGAGTCCCGGACCCGGTGGCTTAAACTCACACTGGGTGCAAGTGTGTGTGTGCCCAACATCCTGAGAGGAGAATGGAGGAGAAGGGATTGCAGCATGGCCATTCCCCCTGGTCGGGGGGAGAGCGGTGATTTCTCAAGAGCGGTGATTTCTCAATTTCTGTCTCTCTGTCTTTCTAGGGAGCGCACATGCCCTAACAAAAACCTCTCAAAAAAAAAAAAAAAAAGGAGAGAGAGAGAGATTTTTATTATAGGACACGTGCACTCGCCAGAGAGACAGAGAGACAGAAAGTAAGAAATCACCCCCTGGGGGAATGACCACACCGCAATCCCTTCTCCTCCATTCTTCTCTCCGGATTTTGGGCAGGCAGACACGCCCATGTGTCCGGTGTGAATTTAAGCTACCAGGTCTGGGACTCGAACTATGGTCAACTACATGGGAATCCAGGGACACAACCATTATGCCATCTGCTGGTCCCAGGAGCCCCAATTTCGACTAGCCTTGTTCTTGATCCATTTGGAGTGGTTTGGGGCCTCTGAGGACCATTCTGTTCACAAGTCATTATAGCATTTAGTCAGATTGCCAAGAAATGGTCTCTTGAACCAATTCTTGACCCCTTCAGGGTTCCTTCCCAGTACTTTACAATGGGAAGAACTATCAGTAGTTCAGTCTAATAAAAGAAGGGGATACTGGGCCAATTAACTTGAGGGTCCTGCACAAATAACCCACAGTCCTGGCATGCCTTGCTTGTTTTCTCCTTCATTCATGTATTTGTGGTGCATCTATTAGATGTCCAGGACCAGGCTGAGATGTCAATGTTACTTCACGTTATTGTTAGAGTGAGGCAATGACAGAGCTAAATAGAAATCATTAAGTGGCATAAATATTCAAATATCATGTTACTTTTGCTATGCAAAGTTGGAAAGGACCATTGAATCGTATTTATGCTTATTTTATCACCAGATGAGAATTCTGAACTCTCCAGCTTGGAAAAGATGTTGGAAAGACATGACTTACCAAAGGAGATTAGTCTGACCCCAAAGCCAAACAGAATGCCCCCATGGAAAAGAAAAACCATCAACAATGTCAGTGATGGCTGGAAGAAGTGTCCCTTGTGGAGGAGAACCACTAAGGAGCCACCCATGTCCACTGTTGTTGTCAGGTAAGCTCTGTCTAACTTTTGTCTTATGCAGACCTAGTTAGAGACTCACAAGGTGATCACAAACTCTCTGAGTCCTTAGCCAAAAATGACTTAATGTGACCTTTGAGATGTACGGTGAGTATGAAACAAACATGGCTCCGTATAAAAGCACATGGCCTCTCCTTTGTAGGCTACAGAAGGAGCCTTCTTGGAAAATTCATGGAGTTGGGAGCAGGTTTGTGAGTCTCCACTGGGTCATTGTCTTCTAGACCAGGGAGCAGAAATCTAGCAGGGGCAGAGCGAGATTCTCGGAGAATAACTCAACCACTGAGCCATGGCTTTTTTGGTTGCATGAGTTGGGAAGCACCAGCCCCACTAGCAGCGTGACCAGAGGCTAGAATACCGTAGTACAACAGGTAGAAACTTGGGACTGGGTTTCAATAGTATGTATGGTAGATAATCAGAAAGTATTATGGCCAGACTGACAGGAGAAATGTACACTTTGCTATAAAGACAGTGTCCTCTTGGATTTGAAGGTAACAGATACAGAGAGAGTTCCAGTTCATCAATTTGCCTGTACTGGAAGTTTCTACCACGATCATTGCGCTAGTGAAATAGTGCCCTATGTTTTATTTAGTGTCTTCAACAGCATAACTTGCCAATTTGATTTAAAAATCTGTAGCCAAGAGAGCTAC